GCCGAATACCCTGGGCACCTGGCTTTGGCCACCCTCGGGGGTTCAACATTTACTCTCGTCGGCGTCCGCCAACGGAATCGCCTTCGCATTTCTCTGGCCGTCCTCCACCGCCCCCCGCCGAGGATGAGGTGTCGCCCGCCCGGCCTCTCGAGGGCGGGACCCGTTTTGGGAGCGACTCGACAGAGGCTCAGTGGGAGCCCTTCGAAAGGGGGGCAGCTTCGGAAGGGCCCCTCGCCCAGCTTTGGAACGATGTGGCCACGGCAACTCCCACCTACGAGCTCCCAACAAAACGAGCTTACAACCACCCCTCCCGCACACTTCCCCCCTCCCCCCTCCATCCGTCTTCCCTCCTCATCCTTCGCCGCATCCTACGTGTCTGCTTGTCTGTATCCTTCTCCATCACCTCCTCCTCCTCCTCCTCCTCCTCCTCCTCCTTCTCCGCCTCCTCCTCCTCCTCCTCCTCCACCTCTTTCCTTCTCCACCTGGTTCCTGGTTTCTGGTAGATGCATTGTAATGCTGACGAAGCCTCCCCCCACCCGCCAGGGCCTGTCGGCACAGGGGGAATTGAGCAAACTGAACAGCCAGTTCACTGTGTGACCGGGCGCGACGGTATGTATAAGGGTCGATGTAAGAGACGACAGACAGGAGAGAGAAAGAGGGAAGAAGAAGAAGACGGATAACCATGACCTTGAGGGGAGTGGGTAGTTACCCTCCTTCCTCCTCCACCTCCTCCGCCCCATCCACCTCTCTCCTCCTCCTCTCTCCTCCTCCTCCTCCTCCTCCTCCTCGTCCTCCTCCTCCTCGTCCTCCTACTCGTCCTGCCGCCTCCTCCTCCTCCTCCTCCTCCTCCTCATACTCCTCCTCCTCCTCCTCTTCCTCCTCCCCCCATCATCATCATCATCATCATCAGAAGCAACATCACTATCATCAGTATCACCATTACCATCATTCGGATCATCATCAGTATCAGTATCAGTACCGGTATTAGTAGCAGTATCAGTATCAGTATCCGCATCCGCATCCGTATCAGTATCAGTATCAGTATCAGTATCAGTATCGTCATCACCATCATCATCATCAGCATCAGCATCATCAGCATCATCATCATCATCATCATCTTCCTCATCCTCATCCTCATCCTCATCCTCATCCTCATCCTGATCATCCCCATCCTCATCCTCATCCTCATCCTCATCCGCATCCTCCTCCTCCTCCTCATCATCATCATCAGCATCATCATCATACTTTGCATCACCATCACCATCAACACTATCATCAGCATCATCATCGCCATCAGCATCACCATGCCTCCACCTCCTCCTCCGCCTCCCCCTCCTTATTCTCCTCCTTCTCCTCCCCCTCCTCCTCCTCTGTTTCCCCCTCCTCAAATTTCTCCTCCTCTTCGTCCGTTAACATCCTTTCCATCCTCGTCCCTACTCTTGCCCCCTGTGAATCGGAAATGACCTAAGGCGGGGGGGGGGGATGAGGAAGAGATGGAAGGCTGGGCGGTGGGGGGAGGAGGGTTAGGAGGAGAAGTAGTGGGACGAGGAGCCAGGGGGGAGACGCAGGGAGAGATAGGGAAGAAATTAGAAGCGGAACGCGAAAGAAGATGAGCCAACGACGAAAGGAGTTCCGAGTCTCACTTCCGAATTCCCCTCTCCTCCATGGCGAGACGAACAGGGAGGCATTTCTCGGGGGGGGGGATTGGTGGGGCGGCACGGAGGGAGGCACCCGTGCGAGCGGACAACCGACTCGGGTAAGCTGGCCCGCAGGTGCCCAAAAGTGCACGTCACGGCTGGCGCCGCAGCCAATGCTGGAGCGCACAATGAGGAAAGTACAGGGTCCGCCCTGCAGGGTCGGTTCCCAGACATCTGGGACCGCGATCTGTTTGGCAACATGGCCCCCCCCCCAAGGCCTGAGCCCCTTCTCGGGAACCGGCCTTCCGTGCTGAGCCTGTGACCTCTATACTGACCCCCGAAGGCCCGGCGAAGGGCCCCCAGAGGCTGCCAAACCGGGCAGACCATCTCCTGCCGTGATCCGTCGCACGACGCGGAAATCCTGGGGCGACCAGCGCGTCGGAAACGGTGTGGGGGGGGGGGCTGGCTGGGCGAGGGCCCGCACCGCCTCGTTCGTGGGGGCCGATCGGCCCAGGCGAGGGCCCCGGGAGGCCGAACCGGGACACCCCGACGTCGTGATCTGTTCGTGGCGTCGACCCCCAGAGGTCTTCGACCCCTTCCCCGGGACCGGCCTCTGACCCCGCGTCGGCCCACGGAGGCCGAACATGGCGAAACGCACCCTCCGTCGTGATTTGTGTTCCTGACTCGAGGGGGCCCGGGAACACTGCCAGAGACGTCCCGCCGTGATTGAGGAGGAGGGAGGGGGGGGCGGAGCGGGCGCAGGAGAGCGAGGGAAGGAGGTGGCGGCGGCGTCTTGCCTCGAGCGCCGCCGCCACGTCCGCCCGGGAGCCGTCGCCCGCGGAGCCGCTGGCGCCGCCGCCAGCCTGCGGGCCCCCCCGCCCGCGTGCCCGACCCTTCGCTTGGTGAGCGTTTTTTCGTCTTCGGCAGGAGGAGGAGGAGGAGGAGGAGGAGGAGGAGGAGGAGGAGGAGGAGGAGGAGGAGGAGGAGGAGGGGGGGGGTCTGGCTCCGGACCTCTGCTTAGTGCGACTGTTTGCAACAGTGCGTCCTATGGGGGAGAGGGGCTCCACCTGTTTGAAGCAGGCGCCAAGGATAGCCAAGATGTACTGTGCGTGTGGGGGGAAAGAGGGCGGGTAGGGGGGCCAGGGCCGATGGGCATAACAATGAATACGAAAACGATCACTATGATCACAGCAGGGCTGTTTGGGAACTGCTGCTGGAAAGAAAAGGATGACCACGGCGGCTCCTATCACAGCCCCCACTGCGGTGGCAGCTCCTGCGCCCATTTCACTTGACGTCGCAAGTCCCACTGCAGTTCCTGCAGCTGCTTCTGCCGAGGTCACCATGTGACTTGACACTGGCGCCGTCGTCAGATTTTACATGGGCATGTTGAAGCGGCCCCGTCACCAAATTCGTCGCCAATTTCCCCAGACAGTGCTTGTACTTAGGGTTTCTCGCTTCTTGTCTGAGGAAATTGCCAGTCAGTATGCGGCTACGTGGTCGCCGTCGCCGCCCCGCCGCCGCCTCGTCGCCGCCCGTTTTCTGGGCCTGCCCGTCGGTTTGGTGGCCACTACTTGGTCGCCGTAGCCGTCCCGTCGCTCTGGGCCTGCCCGTCGGTCTGACGGCTATGTGGTCGCAGTCGCCGCCTCGTCGCCGTCTGGGCATTCGTTACGCTGCACTGTGAGTTGTACGTGACATGGCATGGCATCAAATTGATATGCACTGCTTTATCTGCATTGTTTTACGCTGATTCGCATGGATTGCGTTTTGTTGCGGTGCTTCGCCTTGCACATAGCTGTACTGCAAGGCTCAGCGCAGAAGGGAGGGAGATGGAGGAGGAGGAGGAGGAGGAGGAGGAGGAGGAGGAAAGGGAGGAGGATGAGCAGGAGGAGGACGAGGACGAGGACGAGGACGAGAAGGAGGAGGCGGAGGAGGAGGAGGAGAAGGAGCGCCCGCGCCACTGCATGGCACACGACCGCACCTGGCAGCGCCGGCGCGCGGGGCCGCTCGAGAAGAGCTGATCGGGTGCCCACCAGCGGCGGCTGCTTGGCGCGCTGGGCCGCTACGTGTGCAGTCGGCCAGGGCAGTGCCTGGAGACCCAGACCCCCGACGCCATGACTTTTCCAAGACTCGAGAGCGGCCAAGAGGGGGGTGTCCAAGAGGGGGGGGTGCAAATCATTACCGGCGGCATGTGCGCGGCCCAGCGGGGGGGCCAGGGACGTAATGAAACAAGAAGAGGCGCCACGAAATCAGGGGAAATATCATGGCCCCCGCCATGATATCCACCCCCCCCCCCTAGTCATCACCCCCTTCTTTTCCGCTCCCGAAAGACGCGACCCCCCGAGGCCCAGACCCGGTCCCCGGGACCCGCTTCTCCTCCCGGGTCCTTCTTTGATGGCCCCGAGGCCCAGCAGAGACCCCATGGGGCCGAACACATCGACACGCCTGCCGTCGCGACGCTTCTCCATGCTCCGAGAGGGGGTCTGGGGAGGCCAGCCGTCGAGCAAACTGGTGCAGGAGGAGGAGGAGGAGGAGGAGGAGGAGGAGGAGGAGGAGCAGGAGCAGGAGGAGGAGGAGGAGGAGGAGGAGCAGGAGCAGGAGGAGGAGGAGGAAGGAATGGGCACAGTGCCCAACAACCCATGCTGTCTCAAACCAACAGCGGCCGCTGTTGGGCGGGCGGCCTTCTGTCCCGAACGGACACCGGCCGCGGCGGCGTGGACAGCGAGCCCAGTTCAAAATGCACAACAATCCGCTGTTGGGCGCTGTACCCCTTCTTTCCGTGCCCATTCCGCTGGTGCAGAGAGGAGGCTGTCAGTGTGGAGGGGAGCCAGCCCGGCCCTAGGGCCGACCGCGCCCCGCGGTCCAGGTCCTCGCAGAGCCGCGCCTTCCAAGACCGCCCCCCCCCCCCCCCCCAGGAGGGCAGCCGCCGACTCCGTGTCCACGGCCTGCGCCGCTCTCGCAAGCAGGAACCGCACGCTCCGCCCAGCAAGCGGTCGGGGAGCAGCCAGCGTCTCCGAAACCGACGAAGGCCTGGGGGCCCTGGACGGCATCGTTGACCTCACTCTCAGAGAGGTGATCGAGGATGAAATTGAGAGGGCGTGAAGATGGCTCTCTCCCAGTCCGCCCCAGCCTCAGGAAGGGTGGCCGCTGCGCACCCTCCAGCGCGCTCGCTGCAAAATGGGAGGGCACCAACTGTACGCCAACACCGATCCTGGCCAGGATCACCCTGGGCCCAGGATCGGTGTCTACGCCCTCCTGCCCTGCGCAAGAAGGCATCTGCACCGATCCTGGGCCCAAGGTGATCCTGGTCAGGATCGGTGTTGGCGTATATTGGGCGCCCGAATTATCCGGGGTAACTCGGGTCCGGGGTAACTCGGGTTCGGAATCCCGGAAAAGGAACCCGAGATAGCCCTGACCCGAGTTACCCCTGATGATTCGGGGCTCTGAGTGTTGGTGTATAGTTGGTGCCCTCCGACAAAAGCCAGCATCGCGACCCCCTGCGCCACTGCCGTGAACGAGCGGCGGCGCCAGCGCGCCGACTGCCCGATGGGCGACCACCGGCACGCCGTGCGCGGAAGGCGCGAGACGTGCGCTGCTGGACGGTCACCCGCCAGGTCTGGGGCGCTGCCTCCTCCTCCTCCTCCTCCTCCTCCTCCTCCTCCTCCTCCTCCTCCTCCTCCTCCTCCTCCTCCTCCTCCTCCTCCTCCTCCTCCTCCTCCTCCTCCTCCTCCTCCTCCTCCTCCTCCGCCAGGTCTGGGGCCCTGCCCCACTAGGGGGCAAACAAACCTACCTCGCGTTTGACCACCCTCGCTTCCAAGAGATGCCGAGCGATGCCAAACTACGGCTTGTCCTGGTCAGGCCGCTTGACGAGGAGGCGCGTGGTATGACTTGGTTCTGCCTGGAAGCGAAAGCGGGGTAGGTAATGCACGCTCTGACCCACGGCATCCGCACTTGGGAAGGGCGACCTGCAGGTCCGCAGCAAGTTCCATCTCAGCCTTGTTCGCCAGCGCCCGATGCCACTGCGCGAACCCAGCCCGCGTGTCCCGAGAGCCCGAAAGCGCGCGCCCCAGGACCTGATCGGCCAGCTCCGCCCCAGAAGACCAATCGGGGGTCGGGGAGAAGGCCCCACAGGCACGGTCGAGGAGGTGGCTTGCGGAAAGCCAACACCTTAAGGTCACGCTGCTGCGAGTGGAACTCCATGCCCGCGGGGGAGTGGGGAGTGGTCGGGGCAGACCGATCAACGCCGACACTAGCGACGCCCTTGGCCAGGCCTTGCGAAACGACAGAAATAATCGTAAGTCTTGAGACCCGCCTTGGAAAGGTTTCCAAGCTGGCGCTGACCAGCTGGGCCTCTAGTTCCTCCGCAAACTTACAAGATCCAAACGCGTGTGGCTCCATATCGAAGCCGCCCCCCACGTGGACACCAGTCAAACGTGATGAGACAACGCCCCCCCGATCTTATAACAAGATGAACACGCTTAACTCAGACAGGCCCTGACAATCCGTGCGGTAGCAGCTGACAACGCAGATGGGGCCCTGGCCCCGCGCGTTCACCATGGCCCCGATGGCGCGAGATGGAACCAACTCACATCCGCTTGGCCGCTTGGGGGCTCGAGCAGGCCGAGGAAGCTACTGCGCACCACCGCCACCCCTGCCGAGGTACCCATCGAGGAAGTGGCCTTCGCTGGGACCATCGGGGCCTTCCGCCCATGCCTTAGAGCCCACTGTTGGGCGCCGGGGATGCGATCATCGAGCACGTGTTCCTGGAGGAGCACGACGGGGGCCGAGCAGGTCAGGAGCCAATCCTGAGCCAAGCCCCTAGCCGTGCAACCGCAGCTGACGGTGGGGGCGACAGGGGCTCCGGAGCAGGCTCGGCCTCAAACTTGGCAAGAACACCCTTGTCGCCACTCTTCCTGGCCAGCGCCGCCATCGTCGCCAGTTCCGTCTCCGATAAGCTCCCAGGCGCAAAAGACCACCACCGCCAGGCTGGACATAACACGAAGAGGACAAGGGCGAAAAGGAAGGGCCAGCCACTCAGCACGCCAACGGTCGTCAGCACCAGCAGGCCAACGATGCACGCCGCAGTGTTTGCATACGGCGTAGCCCACCATGTTCTTCTTGCAGCCGCGGGACTCACAGCGCCAGCAGCGGTCTTTGTAGCTGTCGCCTTCGACTGGCGCATCGCGGAGCTGAAGCCACGGTGCCCCACTGCGCCAGTCGGGCCAACGGCCGCTCGATGACTGCTTGGTCGCGCTTCGTAGACTGCTTGCCTCAGCCATCCGCCGCTGGCGTGCTGGGGTGAAATGACTTGGCCCGCATGCGCAGTGATGTTCTGAAGTTGGCGCGTGCAACGCCCAATCCTTGAGCGCAGAACAGCTAGGAGGAAGAGGAGGAGGAGGATGTGGAGCACAGGAGGAGGAGGAGGAGGAGGAGGAGGAGGAGGAGGAGGAGGAGGAGGAAGAGGAGGAGGAGCACGAGGAGGAGGACGAGGAGGAGGAGGCGGAGGAGGAGGAGGAAGAGGAGGAGCAGGAGAACAACCGGCGCCAGCCGACGTGCACCCAGTGCGACGGCGGCCACCCTCCCGCGAGCGTTCAGCGGGCTGCCCAGCACGTCCCAGGCGCTGGACAAGCCAGTTGGCGCCGCAGAACTCCCCATCGCCGCTTCAGGTCGTCTGGGACAGGGTGCCACTACGCGCGCAAGCGGCGCGCGATGGTCTTGCGGAGAGCCTCTGGATACAAAATTCGGATGGCCCCGCGCGCACGCGCACGCTGCGCGCGCGCGACGGCGGCCGGCTGCCGCCGCGGCAGTGTTTGCGCCCAGGGCCCGCCGGCGCCGCCAGGGGAACCGCGCGCTGGGAACGCCGATC